TGTGTTCCAGCTTCAGATTTGACACAAAGTGATGGCAGAACGTTTGACTCTCAGAAGTTGAAGATGGCTCTCAACCAGCCTGCTTTGTGCACACGGCACTCTGAGAGCGAAGGATGTCTGTCATGTGGGCTGTGTTTTCTATTTAGCTCCTCCAGCCAGCTGTGTTGCGAAGGTTATGCCTTGCAGACCTCCTGGCAGATGGTGGGTGGTTGGTGGGAATTAAACCAGCTGCCTATTTTTGGTCATTTTATGACTTGGGCTTTAAAAAAAAAAAAAAAAATTAGAGGATCCATGGATGCTAATTGGTTGAGTTTGTATCGTCATCAAGCCCAAGGCAAGATAAAAAGTAATACCAGCGGTTACTGTTTGCTGAACGTCTGCTTGTTCTTTATGAGGCTGTTTGGTTGTAACAACTACGGAGACCTGCTTAGGGGCTCGGCTGCAGCTTTGCCTGACGGGCGAAGGAGCTGAGGGTCAGACTAAGGTCCAATAACCTAAGCAGCTGTGCCCATTTTTGGAGCACTTTCGTGTCAGAATACTTCTGAATATTGCAAGAATAGTGGCGCCAAAGTAGAGGCAGACAGTGAATAAATGAAGACCTGCGAGTGACGGCTGGGCTTTCAACTTTCTTCACTTGCCATAGAAATTCATTTGCCATGTGCACTTCTTGCTCGTCGGATGCTTATTCCTGATTTCGGTCCGGAATGGAAAGAGCTACAGGACAGTGGTCCAATGAAATTATATTGTAAAACGTGACAATCGCATCCATTTGTTTGTCGTTTGATTTTGGCGAGGTCATTACTTTGAACGGCTGACACACATACGCCTGTTGTAAAAACGACTCGCTTTTCATGAGTAAAAGTGTCAAACTTTATTGCCAAAGTCTCTGATGATAGTTTATCTCATCTAACATTGTGCTCCTTTAGGCGTATGCACCTTGGCGACCAGGCGGCAGTATAATACAAACATAAAACACAACAGAGGAGTTTCACAACTAATTGACTTGGCAAAATGCAGTATCAGTCTTTTTTTTGAGGGGGGGCGGTATAATAAAAATTATATGCACGTGAGTATTGTTAGATTGAATGTCTAAATGTGTTCCTACCATTTGTGTTAAAGTATGTGTTGCGTAAAATGTTTTAACACAGTGATGCTAGTTTCGTTAGCCTCTCTATGATAGTTGGCATGGTGTGGTAGCATTGAGCGAGCGGACATTTCTGAAAATGGTTTTAACACAGTTATGCTAGCTTCGTTAGCCTGTCTATGATAGTTGACATGGTGTGGTATCATTGAGCTAGCGGACATTTCCTAAAATGGTTTTAACACAGTTATGCTAGCTTTGTTAGCCTGTCTATGATAGTTGACATGGTGTGGTATCATTGAGCTAGCGGACATTTCCTAAAATGGTTTTCACACAGTGATGCTAGTTTCATTAGCCTGTCTGTGATAGTTTGCATGGTGTTGTAGCATTGAGCTAGCGGACATTTCCTCAGACCGTTCTTCTTGGTTTGTTTCAAATTCAACTAGAAGCGGCAATAAACAGGTGGAAGCGCCCTTTTAGAAGGACCGAGGTGAGGTCAGTCGAGTTGGCTGCCACCCTCTAGCCTTCAACCTCTCAAAAGTTTTGGCTCACAAATCAAAGGAAAATACTTGCTGCCCGACTGCTTGAATAAACCGTTTTGTTTTAGAGTGACGATGAAGCAAAGCTTATGGCCATTACTGTTTGTATGGACTCCGTGTACTTCATTCTTCAACCGAACAATGGGTAATTTGACCAATCTGGGCCATATCAGTGTCATGTCATTCCGAAAGAGGAAGTAATAACCTTTAGAACTAATTTTGCTCCAATGTGATCGTCACGCTTTGACTCAAATTCACAAGCATGCAGTACAGATGTGGGCCGGCTGCCAGTGAAGTCTGCTGGAGTTCCCCTGTGTCATCTTGATTTTTTTTTTTTTTTTTTATTGCTGCATGCAGGGAGTGTCTCATGTTTTGGGGTCACCGCACTCAGTTATGCTAGCTGCACACAGGCACGGTGATCATTTCAAGCCGTAGTATCCGTCAGATGCAGCTGCATGTGTGCAGTTGTATTATCAGGACTTACTTAAACTCAAATTCATACACTTTGTGTGGTGCTTTTTGGCTTTATTGGGTCGAGCAGTCTTCACAGCTGCCCGGAAGATTACAAGCAGCTGCTTTGGGTGGCGAGTTAGTATGGGATAAGTTAAATCTCGCTATAGGATGTAGCAGACAAATGCTTTAAAGGACGTCTGTTACTTAATCACTTACGAACCTTTTTTTTGGTCGGGGGACAGCTTTCAGACCATGTGATATTTTTGGGGCTCCATTAGACACGCGCAAACAAGTCAAAAGTGTCTTTGTGTTCTTCTAGTCATAACAGCTCCGCCCTCATCCATCACCCTACGCGTAACATTTTATCCTTGCGTTATCAGTTGACCGAATGAATTCCCGACCCTCCTCACTCAACCGCGAGAGTCCCGTTTAGTCATGTCGTCACTTTGCAAAAATGTCACTTCTCGCCCAAGTTTTTCACTCACGGGCGCACGCACTCGGACGCCATTCAGTGGTTGTGGATTTAAGGTAACTTGACCTCCAGTATGCTGAGCGCCTGTCACAGCTCATTAGTGCTTGGACGACGAGAAGAAGACTGGTACACGTAATTTTTTTGCTTGACTTGGACCTCTACCAAGGAGGAAGACCAACCACAGCTGAGTGCACGCGCGACGACTTAAGTGTGCTCAACACCTCGGCAAGGTTAAAATTTCCCAAACCCCGTTTTAGTCTCGAGCCAGCTCATCACAAAAGAGATTTAAAAAAAGCAAACCTCATTGTGGCTAAGCTTTCAGGTGTCACGTGTGTTTTCAAGTCATTCTGTGTCAGTCGTTTTTCAAAGCATTCTTCAAGATTGTCTGGCGTCTTAGAGCAGTTGGAGCATGACTGATCTTTGAAAACCCACAGAATGTTGTGTTCTGTGGCAATATAAGCAGCAAACGTACCAAAAGAAAATGCTGATTCTATGGTCACCAGAAAAAAAAAGTTTTTTGTTTCAAAATTATTATTTTTTTGTTCTTTAATAATCAGCATGACGGCAGAATGATAATATGCTGACTCAGTGCATGGCTTGAGCTGATTTTATTAATCATTGTTTGTGTTTGTCATTCACGCCATGAACTACGCCATCTTTTCTCATGAACGTGACGCACACGATGTAATACCGACTACGACACGTGATCAGTTTATACCAGATGTTTAATCTACTTTGCTCCCTTGTGAGGTGGCTAACCTTATCCTACTTCGTACATGTTGACATTTCTCCCCCTCATAATCAACGTGACAAGTCGAGATTCACAGCCTACTCATTGTCTTCTATTAAAAGCTGTGCTGATCTCAAATCCAAAGCGATGCAACATCGACAGATATCCGTGAATTAAAAATTTGAATTTCACTGACAAGCCTGGGAGAGACTCGATAGATGTCGGTGGCAGTAAATTTATATTCCTGTTGCCGAAGACAAAACATCCACGGCAGTGAAAGAGTGAATATGTTACGGGACACGAAGCTTGGAAGTAGGTAAGATATCCGGCCACTCAGCCTGATGCACAGCATTGTGTCCGGCGGCAATCTGTAGCCTGGCAGCATCTGCTGAATTCTAATTACATTTGCCGGTCATTCCTGCAGGGGCGACTGGAGTGAACTGAAACCTTTCTTTGTACTGCACTTAGCTGTTATTTTCAGTCCTCTGCCTTGTCAACTAGGTTCAGTTGCATGAGTCTGCTCTTTTCAAGAGCACTCTTATATATTAGGCGATATTTACAACCTAGCAACTGTCCAGTTGTGTGACAGAAATGCACTATTTCATTATTCAATTAAATGGCCATGCAGGCCAGACGATAATACACAACACTGACAAATGAACTCCAAAGCCAGCTGGAGACTGGACAACACTCGCTCAGCATCTGACTCTGCATTACTCATTCATGAAAATAGACTTCATCGGAGTCTATTCATCATCTATCTTCCCCTTTGCACCCCTGGAGAGCTCTGTTGGAAAATCCGTGGAGAGTAAAATGGAGCGTCAACACTGATCCGGACTATCCTATCAGGGCGGGCAGGAAACAGTGGAAAACATTTTTGAAGAAGCAAAACCAAACCACTTACATTCGATTGTTTTTATTGCTTACTTCTTGACTCTATCCCTCAGCCTTAATAAGTGAGAGCAGAGAGCAGATCGAATTTACAAGAGGGAATTTGCAGTTTTAAAACCGCATGCAAGATTGAATGTAGCCTCACTTGCCTAATCCCTCCCACTGCTCGAGTCTGACCAAAATTGTACCCGATTAGGAAAGCGTGCGGTTGTGATGGTCAAAGGCAATCCTGTCCAGCATCCACAGTATCGCTGCGCTAGCAATATTAGGCTAGCATTAGCAATGTAAACAAGCTAAATGCCCAACCTGGACCAAAGAAGGCAAAGTTAAGGTGTGACTGCTTCTTTAAAATTTTCTACATACACTAAACGTAATCGAGAGAGCACAATTCTTGTCGTTTCCATGGGAGTGGTGAGTCACGAGTAAGCCTCAAAAGTACCCAAAATCGCAAGAGGCGCTCCGACATAAAGCAGATGTTGACGACGGGAAGTAAAATAAAACCCTCGAATGAGTTTTGACCTTATTTTTCAGACATGGATTGACGACCAACACATGGATCGGATTAGAGTCTTCCCACATTCAGAAAGAGATCATAAAATAGCGATTCCGCATAAACTGCTGTCAAGAGAAAACTGGCAGGAAGTGAATACCCTATTTTGAAGTTAGGACTTTGGTTGCCAATGACGATGACGAAGCTCATTTAAAAGTACGTTCTTCTGAGCGTGCGGGCGACATTTTCAATCTGGCTCATTGGCGGTTGACTGCGCGCCTGTGTTGGGATGGATACGTCATCATCCGGCGGCCATTTAACTGTGACGTACTTCTCTATTTCAGAACTCAATGAATCTTCCGCCGGACAAAGCTCGCCTCTTGCGGCAGTACGACAACGAGAAGAAGTGGGAGCTCATCTGCGATCAGGTGGGTTACTTGAGGTGATGTCAACTCCTTACACTGGTGTCATTTGATTGCTCACATCGGGGTGTACACTCACTGGCCACCGTATTAAGTACACCAACACGTTCTAATGCGATGCAAAGTAAAAGCTCAATAAAAATTCGACAATCAGAAATATAATAGCACCCCGTTATTTTTTACACTTGTGAAATCAACAGTTTTATTGGGATTTTAGTTTGCAGGCAGAGGTGTTTGGCTACCCGAAGCTACACGAGTAGGGCACAAGGAGACAGTTATTGCAGTGCCCAGCACACCTACCAAGCCCAACTTTCAACGCAGCACCATGGCTGCCAAGCACTTGACAAAGAACAGGCGAAGCCTCATGGAGCTCTGGAGAAAGAATGACCTTTTCTTCCGGAATGACAACGAAGCACTTTCTGGACGAATAGGACGAAGCATTTACATTTGACTTACTATATTTCCTGAATGAACGGATGTTTGAGAAAATGTCCTTAGAAGTTCGTAATCTAGTTTTCAAAAAAAAATGAAAGACGCTCATTCACACATCACGCAAAGTGAAGTTTAAAGTGATGCAATTGGAAGTGTTATTGGATAAGACAAAGAAATAACTGATTCATACAGAACATTTCCAACGTAACATTACATTTAAAACTTAAGACAGCATAACAGAGAATTGCTCATGGAAATGCCAGCACCAATCGTCACGCTGCTTTGTAATAACCGGGACATTCGGAAATACAGAGTAGAAAGGAGATTTGTCATAGGTGATAAGACATGACTCCTTCTTGTGACTGGCCCCAAGTCAGCCCTTGAGGAGCTACAAGCTTTAGCTTACTGAAATCAGGGCTGTGCAACACCGGTCCTCGTGTGGTCCTATTCTCCATATTTTGGATGATTCTCTCCTCCAAGACACCTGATTCAAATGATCGGGATCATTAGAGCCGATCATTTGATTCACGTGTTTTCGACGACGTAAACACTTAAAACCGCAGGAGAGTGGCCCTCAAGATCCGGAGTTGGTCCATCCTTGGAATAGATGATACATAGCGATCATTGTTGTTTCTGGCATTTCAAAAATGTTGATTTTCCACTCCCTCTTATTTTGCCTGTGCAATGCTGGTAATGTTGCCGCTGTCATGTGCGGGCCCGGCTAGGAAATCAGCTTCCACATCTGTTTGCGTCCATTTTTATTTATGCAAGCCTTTAGTAAATCAGGCTCTTGAGTCTTGCCGTGCTGGCCTGGCATCAAGTGGCTTAAGTGTTCGCATCAGTTATTCGGTTAAATAAGCCGGCCTGTTATTTGGTCAGCGCCGCGCGTGGAAAATAACATTGGGAGCACACTGTGCGCTCACTCGGGTTCTCGATGCTCCACTCAGCCCGCCAGCCTCCGTGACGAGAATTTTCTGCCTTTGTGAGCAGAAGAGAAAATCGGATGAGAGATCAGGACCACCACCCACCACCGAGTGCATAGATAGCCCCCGACCCTTAAGCAGTGGTTCTTCATCTTGTTCGAGGTACCGAACTCAACCTGTGTCTTAACCTCCATGGCAGAAGCTTCGTCGAACCCCTGAGACTGATTCACCGAACCCCTGGAGTTCCATCGAACCCAGCTTAAGAACCACTGCCCTAAAGGAAACAGTGCCACAGAGTCCACTGGGGGCTGAGTCCCAGTCAAGAGAGCCTCATTTGTTTTGTTTGGTTTTCCTTTACTGTTACAGTCAGACATGAAGCCAGGGTTCGACACCCTGCAAAATCAGGCACAGCCCATAAAATGCTTACGTTTCCAAAATGACGGAATAATATGACAAGGTGAAAACATCCACAAACCGAAGAGCGATCAATTGTGTGACCTTGTGCTAAAATGTCCATTCACATCTATGTTTAGTGTTAGACATTGAATTTATTCAATGAGTTTGACTTTTTAAATACAAAAAAGCGTGTGGTATCAAATGGCATCTTTTGGGGTTTTTTTTTGGTGTCAGAATCACACAAGATAAATGGGAGCCGAGGGCACCTGATTTTGTAGTCCTGTGAATCGTGTGACCTTTCTCCTCAAATCAAATGATCATTTACGTGAATTTCCTGATCCCAAATGTGACTTCAAATATCGAAGGTGTCCAGGGATTTTGGGGAAACACAAAAGTCCGCCGCAAGTTGCTAATAATGGTTTGAATCCCGTTGATCTGAATTAGCACTAATCTTTTGCTATTTCCAGCGTCTACGTAAATTAGGAGCGGTGGCTTAACCGAGTCCATCTGATCTACCAGGAAGGGGAGCGCCTTTGAGCACGACCGTGGTTTCTTGGCCAGGGTTGTCATTACTTGCCAGTCTTCAACACAAGTTTGGGTGTTAGCTGTTCCGATTTGTGGTCATCATGCACAACATCTCGGTGAAGTGATCACTTAGCTAATTTAGTCGAAAGCAACTCGGTGCGACTGATATATGACATTCTTGTGCTGGCGCAAAGGAAATGGGGGCGAAAACATGATCTCAAGCGCCAACTGACAGTTAGGGTTGCAGTTACAAATGCTCAGGAGAGTCGTTTCAAACGCGGCTACATTCTGCCCTGGGCCGGAAAGGAAATTATTAGCCTGAGAACCCGAGTTACGCAAGTGAAGCCTGTTATTTTTCCAAGAAAACCAGCGTCACTCAATCAATATGTCAAATTTAGAGACTAGGTCTAAACATTGTGTCCACCGAAGCACAAACGAGCTCCTCTCCGTAATGACCCGGCGGTTGGCTCCGGCAACAGCTTATTTATGATACATTGTGCTCAAACTTGCATAGGTAGCGTTTCTGGTCAAAACAAAAAGCTTTTCTCTCCTCTGAATCTTTCACTTTTCTTTTTGACAGGAACGATTCCGGTAAAAACAAAAGCTTTTCTCTCCTCTGAATCTTTCACTTTTTTTCTTTTTGACAGGAACGATTCCAAGTGAAAAACCCCCCACACACCTACATCCAAAAACTGAGGGGTTATCTTGACCCGGCAGTCACAAGAAAGGTGAGACAGCCTTGCCATACAAAAAAAAAAATGTGTTGTACCATTGCGGCCATTGTATGCCCTGTTCCACTGTCAAAAGCTTTTTCTTCCACTCCCACTTGAACCATTTTATCTCGATAGCTCGCCAGCTGAGCACAGATAGCGCTCAAAGCTCCTTTGGGAACTTTTCTTGATATAAAACAAGCAAGAGTGTTTCTCAGGGTGAAGCAAAGCTAGTTTATCCATAAAACTCAAGCTTGAGAACCCGCTCCAGATTTTTGCCCTCCATGGGCAGACAATGACGTCACTGTGGCGAATACTGCCGTAATGACCACACACAAGGCGCATCGGATTATAAGGCACGCTGTTAGTTTTTAAGAAAATGGAAGATTTTTAAGTGCGCCTTTTAGTGCGGAAAATACGGTAGTTTTTTTTTTTTTTTTTTTTTTCTCCAACATAAAGTTGATGAGTGGTACATAAATTCAGTCCACAAAATTACGGTTTAACATTACTATGGCGGTAAGAGATTTGTGTGTTGCGTGTTTGGGCTGCACACTTTAGCATCAAAACGTGTTTTATTTTCCACCAGTGTGCTAGCATAGCTGCTGTGTGACGATAGCTAATTTGAATGGATTGACCAGGCATTTTCTTTCCCCTTGGATTTACCCCCCCCCCCCCCAAAAAAAAATGCTACTAATTTCATCAGCTCAGTTAATATACATTTCATCCGCAGACTTAAACAGCAAGATGACCGGACACTTTTCAATGTCTTTGGCTGGATTCTCATTCTGTGTCCATGCAATCGTTGACTGCTCCGGATGTCAGTCATTATACCGAACAGAGTGACTTGTTCTGATCTTTTAAAGCAAACGTTGAAGAGTAGACTCGGGTCACGGGGAGCGTTGTCTTATCACAACAGGCTCTTCGACTTTTGTTTCGTATGTGTGACATACAGTATTCGGCTTCTTGACGAACCCGTTCTTGGGTCTACAAGACACCCCGGGAGACACATTTTGTTTAGCATGCGTCATTTTTGTTCTGACAGTTCACAGAATTGCCGATCGCATGTTTTTGTCGCTCGGTCAAGAGACTGAAGGACGCCCAGCTGTCAATTTGGAGAGTCAAGTGAGCATTGCCAAGGAGAGTGGGCCTGAGGAAGCGAAAGGCAACATGTGAGAGGGGTAAAAACAAGAGCTTGGTTGAAAGAGAGCGAGGGAAGCTGACCAAAACAAAAAAAAAGAACCAGAGGAAGAGAGAGAAAGAGTTATGGGACTTCTTTCTACATTCCTGCGCCGTTTCCCCTTTTCTTCAAACTCAAACAATTGCCACTTTGTGCGGCGGCGAGAGAGCTGGAGGTCATTGCCTCAGCTTTCTCTATAGGCAGGCTCCGGTGCATTCCTCGGAGCAGCTCGCAGCCAATGGGCGCCCACCGAGGTTGAGCTCCCATCCAACCAGTCCTCAAGAATGTATCGGCCATTGATAGGTTTCCAAGATCTCCAAATTCTCCTCTTGTACACTTTCACTGCTCCTCTCTCGCCGTCCTCTGGCTCGCAGCTGGTTGTACTTATGTGGAGTGCGCGGCGGTTGCCTGGGGAAGAGGAGGAGAGCGGCCTCTTCTTTGGAGCCCGCTCAGTACCCCGAAATATGCTTTCCGCACAAAAAAGGGCTCCTCCCTAATAAAAACACACTGTTTCTCATCTGCTCATGTGCTAAACGCGCACCGCCCAAGCCTGAAGACACAACAGGGTGGGAGCGGCTCTCTCGTCTGCCGATCTTAACATGCAGTTGTTGAGAAATTCACACAGCAAGAAAGAAGTATGGCTTTTACGTCGGCGTAAGAAAGTTGCCGGATCAAATGGTTGCATCTATTTTTCACCGGGAATGCCCACAATCTTTGAAATTGGAGACAACGGATACAATGATTTGTCATGATTCGCATTTTATACCCGTAGCAATTTTGGGGAGGAAATGTTTTCTCCTCTGCTCATTTATAGTCAAATTGTCATGATTCGCATTTTATACCCGTAGCAATTTTTTGGGGGGGAAATGTTTTCTCCTCTGCTCATTTATAGTCACATGATCCCTGAGTCAATTTTTTTCTGATGTTTGACGTCATTCTTTCTGATACCGAAAATAACCTTGTAACCAACAAAAAATATTGACAAAGTACAAGAAAACATGTATCCCCCCTTCAATGTTTTCACTCCCCTGCCCTTTTTTGTTTGGCCGTAATGGTGATGATGGTCTTCTCCAAAACCAGGCGGTAATAAAAATTTGTCTCATAAAAATTTGTCTCATCACCAGACACCTTCTCCAAAACCAGGCGGTAATAAAAATTTGTCTCGTCACCAGACAGTTTTAAGAGCAAATATTGATTCTATTCTAATAGCTGTCTGAACTTTTATTTGTACAACAATCTGCATATTTGATCATCTGGAAACAACTCCCGATTGTTTTGCGATCACCAAACGGTTTTCTTTTTGTGTTTGTTGCAAATTATGAAAATATTTCCTAATTCAAACGTAACTTCTTGCGACGCCATCTCAAGTTACAATCTTTATTTCAATGTTTACTGTTTCAAGACGTTACAGCAGCACGTTTTTTTCCCCCTTTGCCTTCATCTTCCCCTGCTTGGCTTCCCCGGACTTCATTTCCTCACCTCTCCTCAGTTGACAAGATTTGTTCTTCTAGTTGTGCAACAGTCTCAGGGTCCAACCATTCATTCATCATTTGTGTCACAACCATTACGACTTTGCCGCGGCCTCCCACGGAAGTGTTTGTGACTGCCTGCCGCCCGTCCCGCTTGGTTTTGAACCAAATTGGCTTCGTAAATTTGATCAGACCGCCAGGAAAGTTGAGTGCTATTTAAAAACCCAATCATGGGCAGGACCTACTTTACATTCACAGTTTCCAGTGAGTCAACTCCCGATTTTGTTGACTGCTCCGTGGTTACTGGAATCTTAAAAACGACCGATAAATATTGTGGGGGGGGAACCCAATCCTCACTTTCTCAGTATCTGTGTCGTAACTGCCTGCTGCTTTCCACCTTAAGAACTATAGCCTAGCCACAAATATTTCGCACTATGAATTGACCTATCTGGCTTTATAAAATATTAACTCACCTTTCTTGTTCCTTAGAAATTCCGCCGACGAGTTCAGGAGTCCACCCAAGTCCTGAGAGAACTGGAAATTTCATTGCGGACCAATCATATAGGGTGAGTCAGCGCAGGACCGTTAACACAACTAAGCACACAAAGTTGGTCGTGGGACAAACACAAAGTTCTCACCATACCACCCTACAATAAATTTGCCATGGTCGTTACAAAACTGATAACAGCCCGACTGATCTGCAAGACGGCTCATTTCATTAATTGTAGACACGCTAACGCGTGTGACCGGCTGCGAACGCAAATTCCAAGACAGCGGCATATTAATACGTGGTGTTAACGTGACCTTGAATTTGTGGAAGCATTGTGGGTGGCGTTCTGGTCAACGTTAACACCGCATTTGTAGCGTCGCCTCCCATACGTTGCTGCGATACCTGAGAAATTATCAAAATAGCCAACTTTTGCAACAAGGGAAAAAAAAAATAAAGTTGTAAGGTTCTGAATGCTGGCACCACGAGAGGCACGGAAGGGGTCGTGGCCTTTTGCCTTTACTGACGTCTCAAAAAGCTTTTAGCAATTTTAATCACACAACTGTTAAAATTCAAGTATACCTATAATTTAACTTTTTTTTTTTCTTTTTTTGGCCCCATCAAGGGATAACCCATCCAGTTTTGGCACCGAGTGTTAAATTTACTCTCACACTCCCGTCATCTCTGGTTTCAGAGAACACAACTCCCAACGCTGGACGTTTACAAACCAGACCTCCGAATAAACCACGAGGAATTACGTCTTGCCTGTCAATAGCGTCCAGGAATTGTTTACACAGATTAATTTAATTGTCCAAGACTTGATGCCGGTAAACTAGATTACATCAGTAATCGTCTTAATCTAGACAATGGGGGCATTAGCATAATGGGAGCGGGGCAGAAGGGTGGGGGGGTGCCGGCGGTGGCGATGGGGGCAAGATGTCACCGGCTCAGACAGTGAATAAGTCCAGTTTGTGTTCAGAGGTGAAACGTACGTGGCGTGGTGGGGTAGGCTGCGTATAATGGCAGATTGTCGCCGCGCTCCTCGCATGTTGCGTCGTGGTCACCGAGACGTGTGTTGAATGGGACGATTGTGATTTGTCCTGTGCTAATGATTACCATGTGGCACAACACGACTACCCCTCCTGGCGCTGTTTTTTCCTCCCCCAACCCCCAGCAACCCGAGCAGCCACCACCTTAGTAGACCCTCTCCGCAGTGTCCACACAGTAACACTGCAGGGGGGGCTCATAAGGACACAGTCAGGGGACCTGAGTGCAATTCCATTGAGCGTGCCTGGGTGCCATTATGTTTATACCCTGCAAATTTCTCTCATTATCAAACAATTGGGCCTGTCAGAGAAACACCGTAAGAGGTCTGGACTAAATAAAGATTCTCTGTGTGCTTCAATATGGTTCCAGGAAAACATAAAAAAATTTTTAATGTAGTCCTGAAAGTGTCTTGACTGCCTCAATGTGAATGGACTCTTGTTAATTTTTCTTATTGCACGTCAGATTGCCAAAGCTAAATTCCAAGTTTGCTGGTGCTTTTGTTTCTCATCCCTTGCCATTAGGTCAATAGCATAATCGTCAAAAATGTCAATTGGGTAAAAGTGATGTTGATTTTTTTACTATATATATTTTTTTAATGTTAACTTTCATTTGTTGCAAATCTCGCCGTTTGCAGGTGGGTGAGAGAGTTCCTGAATGAAGAAAACAAAGGCCTGGACGTGCTGGTGGACTATCTTTCTTTTGCACAGTACGCCGTCACGTAAGTCACTTGCAGCCTCTCCCAACCCCGCAGCCCCGCCGCTCCACTCGATCCGCAAGTGACAAGAACACAACGCTGCCATTCTGCAGAGTCGCTGATGCGTCCACCACCCGCACAGCACAGCACACAGCGCCGCATGCCTGCTGCAAATGTCACTCGGGCACTTTAGCTTCTTTTCCAAAGATTGATGGCGCGATTACTAGTTAGTCACAAGGTCCTTTGTTCCAAGAACCCTGCACTTAAGTGATTAATTCAAGCACCCCACTTCCCCCGATGTTATTATACGATGTCCACATCATGAATGTTTGTTTACCCTGAGCTGGCACCGCAGTAGAATGAAAAAGCCAAAAGCCAACATCCTGTCAATGCTAACTCACACTTTCAGCTCTTTTTGCCAGCGGTGCCAAGAATCTTGTTGATGAAATGCTTTGTAATTTTCGAACTAAAATCTGGATGCCATGCCTTTACTCGTAGGAATTCACGAGTCGATTTTAATAAGGGGCTTCAATTACATCTACAAGTATTGACTAATGAGGTCACATTTTGGTTACTGAATCCCACTCACCACGAAACCCAACCAATGGTTTGAAAATATTATTGTTGTCGGGCAGACAAAAGGCCTTTATTCCTTCCCAAAAGACTCCTTCCATCATCTTTTATCCCCAAAAGAATACTCGGACTTGTCCTCAAGCTATTTTCACCACTTAAAATTGGTTTCGAATGTGTAAAAATAACAAAGACGACACAACCGTTATTGATTTGTGAAAACACTTGAATGAGGCTGTAACGAACGATTATTTTGTTAATCGATTAACCGGTGGATTATTTTGATGGTTAATCGCTGATTTAAAAAAAAAAAAAAAAAGCATGATGTCCATGCCGTTAGCGTTTCGAATTATGATTCAGTACCCAGTATTTTCCACAGCATCTGAGAAAATAGGCAAAAAATGTTGCTCATTATTTCCAAAGTCAAAGCAAACGTTTCATTTTGATTCATCACAAAGATAATCAGTCTGCTGTCATGCAGCACGAGAGAAATCAGATAGAATTTACTGTTGAGAAGCTGAATTTCCAAGCAGTTGGGTAGTTTTAAATTCAAAGAGGTTGATCATTTTGATAATTGATTAGCTGTCGATCAGTCAATGCACCTCTCCATTTGAAATGGACTATATTTGGTCATAAGAGGGTTCCAGTGACTATAGATATTTTTTTAATCCATCTTTGATTGTTGAAGGGTGCTGCTTTACACAGGGAGTTTATCCTCTGGGATCAATGAAGGATTAACTCCACATTTTTTTTTTGTCTAAGCAGCCTCGTATTGCAAGGCACGACTGGTTTTCTGAATATTTATCTCCGGTAATCCCCATTTGTATCCACGATGCGCCAGGTTCGATGGCGACGCTGTGGAAAACAGTCCAGAGGCCCTGCTGGACAAGTCTAAACCTTGGAGTCGCTCCATCGAGGACCTGCACGGAGGCGGCACGCTGCCATCGCCCCTCGGCGGCAACGGCATCACCCGGGCGGGCCGGCACTCAACGTTACGGTATGTTTTGACAGGTTTTCTTGATGCCTCTCCATGTGGTCTGTAAATTGACTTTAAATGGCTGAAGACACATCGGCTTAACACCGCCTTTCACTCGTAACACTGATTTATCTCGTGACAGAATGAAAGAAAGTTGTCATTTATTTTTGGTGCACCAGACCGTACAATCTAACACTGGAGGGATTGGCGGTAGGTAATTCATAAACCCGTGCTAATATACTCTCTAATCTTCCCTGTCGCTCCATTGATGTTTCAGCACAGTACGCGCATTGACTTGTGCGACCTCTAATCCTCCAGTTTGAAGGGGTTAACTTGAACACATTGCGCACAAAGCGTTCCATTGAGGTCGACAATCACATGTGCACGATCACATCTCCCATTTTTTTAAAAACCATGTCCCATATCACATTGTGTGCCCCAACGTACACATTTCTATTCCCTTCGTGTTTTTCTGCTCTAGAGTCTGTAAAGAGACATTTCATGCCATTTTCCGACAATAAGAACATCCCGGTTTGGTTTGCAAATGGATGACGTCGGTCCAGTGCCCATACCGCGACTTTATTAACCAGATACGAGCACTCTAAATGAGGCTGACTGTCTTCTGTTCTGTCCTCCATAGTCTACTCTTGTGTCTGCCCGTCTTCGACAGCAGGCAGGTCAAAACTTCTGTCTACTCCACAACTCCCCCCGATCCACCCCCGGAGACGTTCTCAAATACACACAACCCCTGGCTCATTGTCCTCATACCAGCCCGCTTGCGCTGTCTGTGTCGGGGATGTGAATTATTTGTACTGCCAGCCTCTCCCCCTGCGCTGTCTTGGGAGCAAATAGGTTTTTCTGCCGCTATTGTTCGTGCCTCCGTGCCTGTGTGCTCCCACTGTGGCTCTCCCGAATGCCATCCGGCGCAGTTTCCATGCAAAAGGCCCTGTAGGAGCTGCGCACTAGACACAAACAGCCTCTGTCACTGCAGCGTCGTTCTGGATGGAATGGCAAAATGGCAAAAAACAGTGGCGCAAATAATTGTTTTTTTTTTTTTGTTTCAAACTGCTAACGTGAAGGTCACCGAGCTCACTCAACTGCCCAAAGTGTTCTCAAATAAGACGGTATGGCCTGTTGTGATGTAGCTAGTTAGCAATACACGTGCTAGCCATGTACTGTTCGTCTGTGTGTGTGTAGTTTTTAGAGGAAGTTGTTGTGTGCGATGTTACCCTTGCTATAAGAATCCATTAGAATTCCTTCGAGGAATCATTTTAATTTGTATACTTGTCCACATTTCCCATTACAGGCTAATTGTATGAAAGCCTCGTCAATCAACAAGATAAACTTCTGAAGATTAGTTTTAGTGAGGGGGCAGAACACAAATGGATCTTTTACATGGCGTGGTGCCGTGCGTCGAGGTTTGGCAGAGCTTTACTCACTGTCGACGTTTTTCTACTGGCAAAAAGCTGTACCAGCCAGGCAGCTAGCTGGAATTGTTTTTGTCCATTTCCCTGATGCTAAAAACTTCACAAAAACAAGCCCGACACCTAAAAATGGGTCAAAATGTTTCATGATTGGTCCCATTTTAAATTCTACAGTTCAGCTGCATCGATGCCCCCCCCCCCCAAATCTTCCCCTCACACCTTATACAGTTGTTTTCTTCTCACGCTTTTCACTCTCTTCTATGTCCACTAAATGGCTTGATATGTTACATTTGTGTGGCTGGTTCCCGACAAGTCCAAGCGAGTTTGAGTGTATTACTCTTTGAACGGTGTGACGCAATCCTTTATCATGATTCTGATTTGGAGATGAAGACATTTTGTCTGAACATTTCAATCACATTGTGTCATGCTTTGTTGTTGAGCAATCTGGTGAGGAAAATATTTTATTTAAAAAAAAAAAAAGTCAGCTCAGTTTCTCTTGTGTCTCGGTGGTACCGGTTGGGTGCTGCGATTCATTTCGTGAGAAGTAACTTGCAGACTGTCCTTCAGTTGCGACTCTTTGCACAACGCGCGTGCTGCCAAGCTCACAGGCGTGGTCACGCCTCCCGCCGACATGAACTGGCGTGTCTGTCATTAATAGCCTGAAGATACATTTTTCCAGGCTCGTAATTGAACCTTGCGACTTGAGTCTGAAAATAAACACCGTTGCCCTTCGTGGCTTCTCTCGCCGTCCTGCTTTGCCATTTTGCTTTTATTGGGAGCGCTGGACTAGGAGAAAAGACCTCCTTGTTTTGTCTGCATGCAAATGGCCGGGGCACCGTTGGGTTATTGCCGTGAAAGACATTAAATTAAAAGTGTTAAAAGACAGCATTGTGTGGGCCCCTGGCTAGGCTGTAGATTATATGGCTTTTGTATTAGTCCATGTTAGGTGGACCATCAGTTTCAAAGCGGGCGGGGCCATGTCCCCTCACAAACGGCATCTGTTTTCTGCCTTGTACTGCGCCCCTTGCCCCAACACACACACACACGCACACAAACACACACACGCACTATGGTACCCACTTCTCAAGACTTAAAAAAAAAAAAATGTCACTTTCAGATGTAACACTTTGCCCAGCCGCAGGACACTGAAGAACTCCAGGCTGGTCTGCAAGAAAGACGACGTTCACGTCTGCATCATGTGCCTGCGTGCCATCATGAACTACCAGGTCATTCACGCTAGTCACACGCTTAACTTATCTCTCGGGCTGTGACCAAATATTGACATTACAATATATTGCAGCGTTCAGTGTCGATGGCAGATATTGATTATGTTGCTGCATCGTGTCGTTCTTGCACTTAATGACAACTTTCGAATGTAAAATGCATTTCCCCATTACGCCCAACAAGAAACGGCTGAGGTTTTTTTATTTATTTTTTTTAGTTGCATATCATTATGTGTTTAAATGGTTGTCTTGCAATGTTCCCCATTACGCCCAACAAGAAACGGCTGAGGTTTGTTTTTTTTTTTTTTTTAAGTTACATATGATTATGTGTTTAAATGGTTGTCTTGCAATTCCCAGCAGCAATAATAAGTCTACACACCCCTGTTCAAATGCCATGGTTTTGTGAGCAAAGGAATTGAGACCAGGTTCGAGGTCAGAAGTCACATTAATGGTGGAAAAAGTTTGGAAATGATTCATCTCACAAAAAAAAAAAAAACAAAAAAAAAACGCCCGTGTTCACAAGGGTGTGTGTGATACGACGGCAGTTTGAAAATGATCGCAAGATCAAATTGTGAGCTTGAGCAGTGACTGATTTCTTTTCTTTCTGCTTCTGTTTCTTTTTCCAGTACGGCTTCAACATGGTCATGTCCCACTTAAATGCTGTGAATGAAATTGCACTAAGTCTCAACAATAAAAACCCAAGGTAAGCCATCAACGAGCGAGTAAATATTAACATTGCAATCACAATATTGAGGACATTTTTATTTTCTTCATGATGATTTTTCCAAATTGTCCTGCCCTCATTTCTCCACTCCCTTTTGCTTCAATAGAACCAAAGCTCTGGTGTTGGAACTCCTGGCGGCAGTTTGCCTCGTGAGGGGAGGTCACGAAATCATCCTTGCTGCCTTTGACAACTTCAAGGAGGTAGGAGCAGACGGTGACTCAACCTTGTCGCAACGCTCCCCGGACCGCACGGAGCAAATACACTATTTGTCAACAGATTACAGACCCCCGTAGGCCCCCGAGCCTCTGTAAAAAGCAGTAAAGTGTGTTTGGCACGCACACAAAGGCTCAGAGTAGCTGAGAGGCAGATGTGAGCGACCGCCTTGATACAAACTCTTTCAGGCTTCTGGCAAAAAAAAAAAAAGTTTGACAGAGTGGGCGGACGTTTGTCGCATGCGTCAGTGTGTCCGCTGCAGCCGATGCAAAATTTACTCCTGAATGAAAAATTGAGAGTCATACTCTGCCTCACCAGCATAAGTGGCAGAATAAGCTGGGGCTCATCGCAGCTCGTTTTATGAGAGACGCAAGGCAAGAATAATGAGGGCTTTCTTGCAGTGTGCTTAAAGGAGTAGTTTGAATTTTTTAAGTTGTTATTTAAAAGTGGCTCTTAAAAGCATAGTGGTGTTACATCGACTTCGCCGCACGACTTTGATCACCCACCTCGGACTCCAGGCCTTAAACTTTTTTTTTTTTTTACATTTGATGTCTCCGACTCACTGCATGTTGGATTTTTATTTTTAATTTTTATTTCATCAAAGTCCACCGTTGCCCTCCCGATGAACTGTAGACTGCGCTCTTTTTTTTTAACATCTCACACTTTTCTGCCTCCAGAATTTTAGTTCAAAACACATCAGTTTCAGAAAGTAGCGTGGCGCAGTATTCATCCAGTGTAAAACATTTTTCATTTGTGTTTTATAAATCAAAGGGGGGGGGGAAATCTTTCATTTGGAGTTAGAGTGGAAGTTAAACCAAAGCGGATTAAGAGTTGTACCAATAGTCTGGAACGATTTGGCCGAAAAGTCTGAAATATCTTAACTATTATGACATATCAATCCCTTATCATTTCAAGACAAAAAAAAATATTGATGCGATAGTGTTTTTTTTCATGGTCATTAGGATCCTACCTCAGGCATGCATTCATTCGGTCACATGAGGATGGATGCGGCGTCATCTTACACCACGGTGGCCACTCTGGCATTAGTAAAGTGAACTGCGGTTTGTTTTGCAGGTTTGTATGGAAGAGCAGCGCTTTGCGAGGCTAATGGAGTATTTCAAGAACGAAGACAACAACATCGATTTCATGGTAGTTTTTTTCCACTCCCCACCACACTCCATCTCTCTCTCTCTCTCTCTCTCTCTCTCTCTCTCTCTCTCTCTCTCTCTCTCGCCCGCCCGCCCGCTGAACCACCCAATAACAATAACAATGACGAGCTCCGAGAAATAGCCGTGTCCACCTCGTGGATTGCATCACACACGCAGCTTGCCATTGGCTGGCTGAAGTGGGCCTAAGTAGCGGATCAGAATAAAATGCGCTGTGAAGCAAGAGCCAGAATGAAGACACTTGAAGGGGCCAAGTGTCTTCATTCATGTCAACTGTTTTATGAAAGTGTTCGGGAAAAGCAGCACATGTGTGAATCCAATGACTGTAGCGCTAAAGCAAACGGACCAAGCTGTTTGGCATTTTGCACAGCAAGGCCATTAAAGCTAGCACGGCCCCTTAGGGAAGCCACTTGATTTCTTTCCTCTACCTGTCTAAGCTACCCAGTCAGCCGTCACAGCTCAAAATAACAATGAGGGTTTACTTGTACGCTTTCACAAAATATACATTTCTGTCTGCGTGTTTTTTTTTTCCACTACTAGCGTGACTTTTGAACCAAGTAGGCTCTCCTAGGTAGCGTCTTGGACCCAAAGCACCAAAACAATTCTAGCTACAGATTTATCTTACAAGTACAGTCAGTCTGCCAGTGTACAAAAAAAATGTCATACAATAGTAGATAAGCAAAAATGCTGCTTTTCATAGCCATCGGGCTGTAATTTATTTTCGGAGAAGCGATTGCGCTTCATAACTGAGGCCTAGCAACAAGCGACGTCTGAGGAACGAGAATCTCAGCAATTCTGTAAAATACGTTTTAGTGAATTACAGATTGCGATCAATACATTTTTTTTTTTAAATTAAGTAGTGGTATTTTTAAACGATATTTATACAATTTACAACATGTGTGCTATTGTTTTTTTTTTTTTGGAATGTAAAAAAAAAAGCACTTCGAGAGAGTTGTAGATGGTTCAGACATTGGTGCTCCCAGCACACCATTTTCTTCGGTTTGCTGTGTTCTTTATTCAGGGAGATTGAGTGACTCTCGTTTGTCCTTGTTGCTCATTCTCTTGTTTGTGCTCCTTAGGTGGCCTGCATGCAGTTCATCAACATTGTGGTGCACTCGGTGGAGGACATGAACTTCCGGGTTCATCTGCAGTATGACTTCACCAAGCTGTCTTTGGACGAATTCTTAGATGTGAGTCGCAACACGAATGTGGCCGTGAAAAATTGGGACGAACAGTCCAAACCCTCGTAAGCTCAACGTTGCCATGGCTGCGCCTTGGAGACGGCTGCCGTGTGAACTCTGCTAATAACATCTTCCCTCGCAAACTTGATTGATGTGTTCCATTTTGTAGAAAGTCAAGCACACGGAGAGCGATAAGCTGCAGGTTCAGATCCAGGCCTACTTGGACAACGTGTTTGACGTCGGCGCGCTTCTGGAGGATGCAGAGACCAAAAATGCTGCCCTCGAGCGTGTGGAGGAGCTGGAAGAGAACATGTCACATGTGAGAGACCTTGTGTGTTGATGAGTTGAGCTTTTTAGCCCATCTCCCTGTGACAGCGCAAACTTTATTAATGTTCAAAATGTCACCTTGTTGACGCTTGGGTGCGGCAGGCCTCAGTAGACTGACACAGACATCAGAAGCGGCATCTCGCAGCGTTTCGGCCCGGGCTTGACTCTGTTCCCATGTTTTTAATGGACTGTCATGTCAATAGATGGGATCCCCTGATGTCTTTTTTCCCAATTTCAAAAGATTACATTTTCTTGTTGTCCCCCCAGTTGACAGAGAAGCTGCTGGATGCAGAGAACGAAGCCATGGCCAAAATAGTGGAGCTGGAGAAGCAGCTGATGCAGACAAACAAGGATCTGGAAGGCATGAAGGTCTGACTCGCACTCTCTGGAGATGAATATTTGGATGGAAGGCGTGGCTAATATTAAAGGGACAGCGCAATGGTATAAGAAGGCAATATTTAAGTATAATACAAACCTGATCGATGGCGATGTTTGCTAACTCCAACCCGTTTGATTTCCCGAAAAAGACGCCATTTTGTAGCTGCGAGCATTCTCCCCGACAGTGACAAAGCATCAATGGCTCCTCTCTTAATTTTTTTATCAGACACTCGAATTCTACATGATTAGCCAATGACTTGACGATTTCAAATAAAACATGACAAAATTCCCGAATTCATGCGAAGCTCTTTGAGACTGTTTGTGATCAAGCGCTGAATAAATGACGAAATGTGACTTGACTTACAGGAAGCCTACAAAGACACCAGCGGGAAGCTCCACTCGCTGCGGCAGATCTTGAAGGAGAAGGACGAGGCCATCCAGCGACAGAGTCACCTGGAGAAGAAGATCCACGAGCTGGAGAAGCAGGGCACCATCAGGATACACAAAAAGGGAAACGGCGACATCTGCATCCTCCCGTCGTCGCCCTCCGGCGTCGTCGTCGAAGGGTTCCCCAGTGCCACGGTGGGCGGAAACGGCGTCGGCGTCCACAGTCCGGCGCACGCGGGAAGCGGAGCGGGGGCTGCGGCGCCTGCGCCGCCTCCGCCGCCCCCGCTGCCAGAGAACGGCTCAGGTCGGTGCACTGTGGCATATGTACACTCTCAAATGCCTCCTTGAAATAAGCGGTCTGAAATTGTCTGAAGTTCAGTAAATCAATACAGTAAGAGAAGAAAACCTTTATTTGTCTCACAATGGAGAAATTCCCAATTCACAGCAGCAAAGTTTTGAAAGGAAAAAGTAGAAGAACAAAATATTGGAGCTGCTGTAAAGGCAGCCGCTCTCGCGGCGCCAGCTTGAAGTCAAAATAACAAAAATAATACAACACAACACATAAGACACACAATGTGAGGAAAAAAATTATTTCCTATTGATTATTGATGACATAAATTGAAGACTTTGGGACTGTCAGTGAACATAACATGAATAAAAGATGCTGCTTCCTTCCAAAATCAACATTTGTCCGTGAAAATATCTATTTAAAAAAAATTCTGCATGCTATCGGCTTCTGCTTGAAAGCAGAACACACGGCATGAAAAGCCTCCTGGAACTTTCTGAAATGTCTTTCAGGTGAATCAGAGGCACATGAAAATAAAAAGAAAACAGACCTGACTCTCGGCAAACCCTAAAAATTGGCCTGACCCAAACACTCGATGATCAATGTGGATTAGTCACCGGGCCCAACTGTAATGCTGAAATATGAACGCAATCATGTCCGAGGACGTTGAGCTGATTGTCGTCCTCTCTTGCAGTGCCAAACGGACCGACGTCGACCACTCCTGCAGCGGCTCCTCCTCCGCCGCCGCCGCCCCCGCCGCCGCCGCCCCCGCCTCCTCCCCCGCTTCCACTCGCCATGTCAGGCCACTCACCTCCCCCGCCGCCTCCTGCTGCTCCTCCACTGCCCGGCTGCGGAACCCCCACTGTTATCATGAACTCGGGTTTAGCCGGTAAGCTTCCTCAAGTGGATATGCAGCAAATGTCTCAACAACAGCAACAACAAAAAATAGACGGCAGTGAAATAATTGTTGGGTTTGTCCCTCAAAAGACCCTTGTCCCTTTGTCTTTGGGTTTCATCAAGTCAATGTCAACAGAAAATAAGAATGACTGCTTGTAATTGTAGTTTTAAAAGCGCTTTTTTTTCAAAAAAACTTTTAATTTCAGCCTTCATTTTCTGTATGTATTTATGGTATGCTGCCTTCGGTTTTGAAATATGCATGTTCAAACACTTTCCTTGATTTCTTCTCCTCTTCTTATCAATGTCTCTTTGAATTGTTTCTTTTTCTGCCAACCAGAGGGACCCATCAAACTTTTCTGTAGGTTCTATCCGTCTGATTTTGTTTTTGAAACCCCCTTTGTTTCTCCTTCTCCCCCCCACATGCTTTGAAATTGGTATTTTCTCAAACGGAGTCGCCACCTGTTGCCTCAGAGGCCGCGTGTGTCAAAACATTCAGTCGTTTGAACACATTTATGAGCACGTCCTCCATTTATTGGTCCGAACTTGAGCAAATACCAAGTTTCAAATGATCTGCATGATTTCACCATCCCATGTTGGTCGAGTCCAAATGTTGTGATGCTGTGTTTTTCCGTTTGGCCGCATCTCAAAAGTGTCGGTCGCATGCTTAAACACAAATCACCTGATGTGAAAAGCAGATGATAAGAAGCCCTTCTCCTCTTCTATCTGCTCATTAGCTCCACTCGAATGAGAAGGTCAGCATTGACGGGGAATCGATAAAAAGTCAATCTCTCCAATGAGGCCAAGTCCTAAAAATGCATTTTTGCCCAAGCCAAACCCCCTCACTGAGATTTTGTAAAAATAGTCTCGTGTAAGCCCCCCCCGAGCACTCTTGGACACGTGCACCTGCGAAAAGTGTTGTCATCGCTCACCGCTTCATCCACCTGACTGCCCGGCATGTGTGAGTGCGTCCGTGTGCATGCGTGATTCTCATTTGCCTCCCTGTCCCGTCCAGCCGTTAAGATCAAGAAACCCATCAAAACCAAGTTCCGCATGCCCGTCTTCAACTGGGTGGCCCTGAAACCCAACCAGATCAACGGGACCGTCTTCAACGAGATCGATGACGAGAGGATACTGGAGGTGAGCGGATATCTCAAGGTCTCGCCCACGCGCTTTGCCGTCCTCCTCTTCTGTTCTGACACCAACACAAATGCGATGGTTGGCCTCCCAGGACCTGAACGTGGATGAGTTTGAGGAAATGTTTAAGACGAAAGCCCAAGGCCAGGCGGTGGAGTTGACGCTGAGCAAGCAAGTTATTCAAAAGGGACCCAACAAGGTGACGCTGTTGGACTCCAACAGAGCAAAGAACTTGGCCATTACGCTAAGGAAAGTGGGCAAGACGCCTGAGGAGATCTGCAAAGCCATTCAGCTGTAAGTCGACAGTTAAAAACTTCCTTTTATTTCATTTCCTTCCCAATACGAAAGTTGAAATTCTTCTGAAGAAAAATGTTTTGGCCCCGCTGCCTGTCCAGGACCCTCTGATACTATCAATTTACCAAGACTTGACTATCGAGAAAAAAATATGTTCAGTGTCCCTCGACCTGCTACGGTACCGTTGTGTTGTGACGTCCTGACATAGTTTCTAACAAGTGTGACACATCAATACTTGCTCAGAGTTAATAATCTGAAATCATGATTTGAGAACTTTTTTTTTTTCAAACTACCGAATTTTCCGCACTATAAGGCGCACCTAAAAGCGTTCCATTTTCTCAAAAGCCGACAGCGCGCCCTATAATCCGATGGGCCTTATATACGGATCAATATTCGGATTTCTTGGACGTAGTATTATAAATGTTCTGTAAAGGGCTCTGTTGCAGCTGCAGCCAGTTTTGCAAGCCCAATATAAATCAAGCTGTATTGTATTGTATTCACTTTAGCGTAGCTCCATCTAGCATATGCATAAAGCAACCGCAGCCACTATTGTGGTTTCCATCCTTATGCGCCTTATAAAGTGATGCGCCCTATAAATGAAAACAGTTTTAAATTAGGCCATTCATTGAAGATGCGCCTTATTCGCCCGAGTGCCTTATAGTGCGGAAAATACGGGATACATTTTCCCTTGAGTTCCGCTTGGTTGAATCCAGGGCCATTATACTGATGTGGCTCGAGAGTCGACAAAAGATGCTTGCTGATTTCACACACAAAGCAGTAAGACAAAAGCCAAGTGGTCAAATGTGAGCTGACCCCATCGTTGCTCTGCCGACTCTCAGCTTCGACCTGCGCACTCTGCCCGTGGACTTCGTGGAGTGCCTCATGCGCTTCCAGCCCACCGAGAACGAGGTGAAGACCCTGCGCCAGTTCGAGAAGGAGCGCAAGCCGCTGGAGAGCCTGACTGACGAGGACCGCTTCATGATGCAGTTCAGCAAGATCGAGCGGCTCATGCAGAAGATGACCATCATGGCCTTCGTCGGCAACTTCGCGGAGAGCATCCAGATGCTCACGCCGGTACGAGCGCTTTGGTTTGCCGCGGTTCCACTCAAACGGTCACGGCCATTTGAATGCGCTTTCTTCTGCTTCCTCGCAGCAACTCCATGCGGTCATTGCGGCGTCGGTGTCCATCAAGTCATCACAGAAGCTGAAGAAAATTCTAGAGGCACGTGAGCTCATTGTCTCGATTCTGTAAAAAGCCAGCAGGAGTAGTCTGATGAATTGACGACAGCATTTTGCTTTTTTTTTTATCCATTTGGAATCACGGTTATAATAATTTGGGATTTTTCATCGTAGTTGGAATTGTTTTTTTCCATTATGACTTTTAGATTTAGTATTAGTTTTTTTGTTGTTGTTGTTGTTGTTTTCATGTCATCGAGTACAAAAACAAAAAAAGTCACAATAAGCATCGTCTGAAACTGCATTTTGCCAAACGACTGTTCGACCTTCCTTCGTCTGGATGGCCGGACAGTCATGCCAAAAGAAAAACATTTAAAATCAACCTTGGTCTCAGCTATTAAATGAACTGACAAAGCGTAACTAAGGACATTTTTGCTTTAGATTTGAGAAATGTTTTAGAATAAAAAAATTCATTTTTGATTTTTATTTTATTTTTTTGGGTTGTGTTTGTCATCTGTTTTCATTCACAGTAAGTTTTTTTTTTTTTGGTTGTTGTTTTCATATCGTCGACGAGTACAAAAACAAAAAAAGTCACAATAAGCATCATCTGAAACTGCATTTTCCCAAACGTCCTTCGTCTGGATGGCCGTACTGCCAAAAGAAAAACATTTAAAATCAACCTTGCTCTCAGCTATTAAATGAACAAGACAAAGCATAAGTAAGGATATTTTTGCTTTAGATTTCAAAAAAATGTTGTTTTAGAATCTAAAAAAAAAAAAATCACTTTTGATTTTCTTCTTTTTTTTTTTTGTTGTTTCTCATCTGTTTGACTTTTCTTGCAACGCATTTTCATGCTTGTCTATTGACGGTGCGTTTCTCCTCCCCCCGCAGATTATTTTAGCCCTCGGAAACTACATGAACAGCAGCAAAAGAGGAGCAGTTTATGGGTTCAAGCTTCAAAGTTTGGACCTGGTTCGTTAAGCCCCTCGTCCACGATTCATTCTCGGGAACTCACCCACATATCGGACTTTTGTTTTCATTTCATTTCATTGCCTTGCAGCTCCTCGACACCAAGTCGACGGACCGCAAGATCACGCTGCTGCATTACATCGCTAACGTGGTGAAGGAGAAATACACGCAGGTCTCCTTCTTCTACAACGAGCTGCACTACGTGGAGAAAGCGGCAGCAGGTCAGCCTGCCCTTTCTGTTTTTTTCACACAATGGTCCCCCCGAATGCGCACTTGACGTGTCGGCCTGTGGTTTTTGCAGTGTCGCTGGACAACGTCCTGCTGGATGTGAAGGAGCTGCAGAGAGGCATGGAGTTGACCAAGCGGGAGTACAGCATGCACGGCCACAACACCATGCTCAAGGACTTCATCGCGCACAACGAGAGCAAGCTGAAGAAGCTTTTGGAATCACGGTTATAATAATTTGGGATTTTTCATCGTAGTTGGAATTGTTTTTTTCCATTATGACTTTTAGATTTAGTATTAGTTTTTTTTTTTTTGGTTGTTGTTTTCATATCGTCGACGAGTACAAAAACAAAAAAAGTCACAATAAGCATCGTCTGAAACTGCATTTTGCCAAACGACTGTTCGACCTTCCTTCGTCTGGATGGCCGGACAGTCATGCCAAAAGAAAAACATTTAAAATCAACCTTGGTCTCAGCTATTAAATGAACTGACAAAGCGTAACTAAGGACATTTTTGCTTTAGATTTGAGAAATGTTTTAGAATAAAAAAATTCATTTTTGATTTTTATTTTATTTTTTTGGGTTGTGTTTGTCATCTGTTTTCATTCACAGTAATGACTTTTCTTGCAACGCATTTTCATGCTTGTCTATTGACGGTGCGTTTCTCCTCCCCCCGCAGATTATTTTAGCCCTCGGAAACTACATGAACAGCAGCAAAAGAGGAGCAGTTTATGGGTTCAAGCTTCAAAGTTTGGACCTGGTTCGTTAAGCCCCTCGTCCACGATTCATTCTCGGGAACTCACCCACATATCGGACTTTTGTTTTCATTTCATTTCATTGCCTTGCAGCTCCTCGACACCAAGTCGACGGACCGCAAGATCACGCTGCTGCATTACATCGCTAACGTGGTGAAGGAGAAATACACGCAGGTCTCCTTCTTCTACAACGAGCTGCACTACGTGGAGAAAGCGGCAGCAGGTCAGCCTGCCCTTTCTGTTTTTTTCACACAATGGTCCCCCCGAATGCGCACTTGACGTGTCGGCCTGTGGTTTTTGCAGTGTCGCTGGACAACGTCCTGCTGGATGTGAAGGAGCTGCAGAGAGGCATGGAGTTGACCAAGCGGGAGTACAGCATGCACGGCCACAACACCATGCTCAAGGACTTCATCGCGCACAACGAGAGCAAGCTGAAGAAGCTGCAGGACGACGCCAAGATCGCGCAGGTGAGAGGAGCGGAGCGTTTTTTGCCACGGGGTCCGCCCAAGGCGTCTTCTTCGCCTTGATGGAAAAACGGGGGCCTGCGGCTTGTTTACAGGATGCCTTTGACGAAGCCGTCAAGTTCTACGGGGAGAGTTCCAAAACCACGCCGCCGTCCGTCTTCTTCCCCGTGTTTGTGCGCTTTGTCAAGGCCTACAGGGTGAGAATCGCGCATCCGCACTGAACCGAAAACACGATTCTGATGTTGCGGGGTTAGAGTGTCACGAAAGAAAAAAAAAAAGTAGCGTTGGCGCGTTGGTACCAACACAACATGACATTTGTTCCAAGATGGATTACTTGGATGTGTCTTTTATGAAACAAATAAATAACAAATGAATTGATGAGAATCACCATCAATTAAAAACTTGAACAAACATCCTTTTCATTCACCAGCAATAAGTCACTATTTGATTTAAAATGTCATTAAAGTTCACCATTTTCAATTGGCGGCACGTTGTCATTTTGCGGCCTAACACGTAGTTTTTGCCTTTGATTAAAAACCACCAAAATGCCCTGACTTCATTTTGTGAAGCTTCGTTTGCGCTCTCGCATTCCCGTCCATCTCCTCAGCAAGCCGAAGAAGACAACGAGCAAAGAAAGAGGCAACAGCAACTCCTGATGGAAAAACTTCTGGAGCAAGAGGCCTTGAGGCAGGAAGAACAAAAGGTAAGAGCGGGCCGGGCCTCGGCCTGCCGTCCCGCTGATGTCGGGATTAGTTGTGGACAAACCACCCACCCGCTGCTCCTGGTTAAAACGTGCTTCTGCCACCCCCCGCTGGGCTGCCTCGCCGCTGCTCACGATCAAGCCTGACGCTTCTTACGCTGGGCTGCCTCGCCGCTGCTCACGATCAAGCCTTATGCTTGATTGCTCTGACGAGTACGGCAAACTTTGCATTAAAGTTTTGCGTCGGCGTGTGTGCCTTCTCCTCAGTCTCCCTCCCATAAGAACAAAAGGCAACAGCAGGAGCTGATCCAGGAACTGCGGAAGAAGCAAGTCAAAGACAGCCGCCATGTTTACGAAGGCAAAGACGGCGCCATCGAGGACATCATCACGGGTAATCTTATCCGGGGGCCTTGCTCGATTGGCGGCGTCGCACACGCCACCGTGTACACACACACACACACACAGACTCACCCGACACGCACCGGAGGTGCGGCTCTCTGCATGTCGGTCCTCTTTGGCTAAAGGCTAACAGACGTTCGGGAGGCCATCGTGTGCGGAGCTAAGCGAATCCAGCAAGTGTTGTCGATGTTGTCGCTTTTGCTGATGCTTTGTAACACGTGGCCGACGCTGTGACTAACTCTTGAGCTAAGGAGTCATTATCCAGGGGATCGATATTTTTGGAGGTCATAATAATAGATACACCTGCACTATGAGTACATCCGGAGTGTTCGTCAATCCCGAAAGCCGGAAATATGCTGAATTCTCAACTCATTCAGTACCAGCCAATTCTGGACCAAGTCTGAAAAGACGTTTTTGTATTAGAGCTCCAGATTTTTTTCCTTAAAAACGTCTTTGGGAGTGAATGAGTTAATTGACGATGACCTCAAGTTGTCCGGCTGTGATGAGCGAGGAGATTTCCGACAGTATTTTAAGCAGCACTTTGTCAGATAGTAAACAATTCTTCACAAAGCCTTTTCACGCTGTTTAATGCAAATCCTCGTTAAGTTTACTGTCAAACTAAACATACAACTAGTTATGCGTTTGAGTATCAAACACGTGGTTTTAGAAATGTCAGTTTAGCTTTAAACTAACCACCGATTAAAAATGATGCGGAAGTGCTAACGAATGGCGACTAAACTATCAAAACGTAATTTTGTGGAGGCTGAGTTTTTGTTCCGGTGCTTGTATTAGAGCTCCAGATTTTTTTCCCAAGATGATTTTGCAGGTGTATCTAATATTGTGACTCTACATACACTCGTAATGCTTCTTGTATTTGTACAACCTGATGTGGAGACCATGACGACGCAGTAGCAATTTCGCAGCATCAACTGTCCGCCTAATGCTGACTCTTGGACAAGTCCGGGAATTATCTCATCCTTTGCTGAAGTTTGCTCATGTGCAAAAACATTTCTGTGACGTTTACGGGTCGACAGAAGATTACCCAAAATGTGGGGGCGAAAAAAAAACGTGCATTTTATTTAGTGAAAGAAGTATTTGAAAGTTCAGTGAGAATGCAATACCAGAACGAGAGAGAGAGGGACAAGGTCGGTCTCTCTTATCCTTGCAATTAAACAAACCTGTTGGGGAGACCATGACGACGCAGTAGCAATTTCGCAGCATCAACTGTCCGCCTAATGCTGACTCTTGGGACAAGTCCGGGAATTATCTCATCCTTTGCTGAAGTTTGCTCATGTGCAAAGACATTTCTGTGACGTTTACGGGTCGACAGAAGATTACCGAAAATATTATTAGAGGTTAGAATGAACGCCAAATACGTTTTAGTTGTGCAAAGGCCATCAAAAATATTGTTTTGTCGCCATCTCGTGTCATCTTAATGTCACGGAACAATGGTCCAAGTGATTTGAGGAGCTTCATTTAGACAAAAGCAGTGCTTTGCCAGCAATTTGAGGAGCTTCATTTGGCTAAAAGTAGTGCTTTGCTCCCATCCTGTGGCATCTATAATTTGTGAGGGGGGAAAAAAATATAAAATATTGGAAATTATTGTCGTGTTTATGTCATGTTTTTTTCGATTATTTGTGAGTGGAGCCTCAGTTAACCGATGAATTGAAACGCGTTCATTTGAAGCATGTGATGCCCGGGGGGAGGGGCTTACATCATTTTGGAAGATGTCCCGGTGCAAGTGTGGAGGTTAATAAGTAACAGTGAAGTTTGAGTTTGAAAACAGCCCTCCAAATAGTCATTGCGTCTGTTGGAATAATCCCTGAGCGGCCCAAACGAGAGGAGCCAGTTCAGTTGTTTGTACGTAAACAAACTCGGCAACGGATGAAAGCATGATTCTCGCCTGTGTCTCGATGCTTCGTGCTAACAGTGGCAAACGGCTGTCGAAATCTGCTTCTCTTATCTTGTGTGTGTGTGTGTCTTGCCATGTCTCGTCACGGCTGTCCTGTCCTGTGTGTTTGTTGTTGTTGTTGTCGACGCAGTGCTGAAGACGGTGCCCTTTACCGCCCGCACCGCCAAGCGTGGCTCTCGGTTCTTCTGCGAGCCCGCCCTCAATGAGGAGTACCATTACTAAGCTTGTAGAAAGTCTCTGGCACAAAAACAACAAGGTTGCCGGAACTCTCCGTTCTTCCCCCGCCATCCCTCCTCCCCCCACACACGTTGTCCTCAAACAGCCTTGCACGCCTACTAACTTTCACACGACCTTGCCGTGGTGACGCCAGCGTGAGTGCGGGTTTGTGTTTTTTAATGGTGTTTTCCTCCCTCCTGATCACAAGGTGTTGGTGAAGGTCCACCTGCATGATGTCATGAATCATCCTCTAATATTTATCATTTCATCATTCCATCATTCGCCCCACTCAAGAGTTGACTTATAGCTCCATGCTGCCCCTTAGTGGCCGTGGATGGAAATGCGCTCTAGTGAACCGCTTGACAATACGTTGTGACGATATAATTTTCAGTGATTTTTTTTTTCAAAAAAGATTTGCTCATTTTAATAATTATGATTATATATATATTGAATACACCTCCTTCCAAAGCGTTTTACACCAAATACCAATTTATTAAAACAGAAACAAATTAGGCGTCTATTCTCCACTGTGAATAATGCAGGGTTTGAACATTAACACGGAAACTATACTTATTGTTTACATTAAAATTCCCATAGAGTCAACTAAACTGTTCAAAAATGTTCGAAGAAAAAAAAA